AGTAAGCTATTATAGATATAGATTTAAAGTCTAAGGTACGGACCATTTGATCTGAGGGGGCAATCTCAGATTTTTAAGAGAAAAATTCTGACCCTGATTTTTGCCTTAAACAAAAATTCTGGCCGTATCTGGATTGAAAACAATAATCTTGTCCACTTTTTTGCTATTAGAAAAAATATTTTCAACAGAATTATTTAGCATTAAATGAACATGATGAATAAAAAATGGGCGTAATTTTTTTTTTGGGGGGGTTGCATGTGAATCCCATATCTGACCGGAATGTCTGTTTCGCCGAACTGATATACTGAATACTTTTTCAAGGCCCGACTGCAACTTGTCTGCTGGGTGTGGCCTATATGTCTCCATGTGTCGACCGTCATTCACAACTTCATTGTCATTTCCGACTAATTCGTAGCCTTTGGTTGATTTGGAACCCCTCACTTCCCTTGTTGGGTAAAACATTTCAACCAAACATTTGGATGAAAATTGCTTGTTTGTCTTTCTTCGTGTCGGTCGTATTGTAAATTTCATTGAATAGCCGTATATCTTGTTTACAACAAGAAATCTGTGAGGTTATGCTAACTAACCATACAACAAACGATTATTTTCCATGTCCATTTTTTACTGACAAATCCCACATCAAATATATTAATTAGTACATAGCTTTGGATCCATCCAATCATAATAGACAATTGGTGGAGAGAATACGGCACCAAAAATGTCCAACCCCTACACTTTAACTATAAAATGCATTTTACACTTATTTTATGTTTTTTAGCCAAAAAAAGGTCCAAAATATTTTTTCGCCTCGCTTCGCTCGGCGAACTTTATTACTACGCCCCCCTTTCCAAAATCCTGGATCCGCCCCTGGAAACTAGATATTTCTATACACATTGACACCAATATGCCGGATTAAGAAATCAAGCTAGTGAGTGCTTTCAGTTACTGACGTCATTTGTGTTGGTTTGTTCGACGTTCACTTCTAAGGCTGAACATCTGTTGTCATTTAGACGTTAAAAAATAATACATATATCGTATTGGTAGCTAGAATTTCGAAAAAAAAGTGGCTGCTATCATTATTGGTATTTAAAACGAAAAAATCCTTTAAGAATCACTACAAGCCGTGAAATTGTCGAATTCCGCTCTTAAATTACGTTTAACTTAGATTTTGAGATTTTTGGAACGTTCGAGTCTGTTATAGTTTTTGGGTTTTTAGACATATCATCAAAATTGGCTGCTGGAAAAAAGTGGCTGCTATCTTGATTGGCTGCTAAAAGTGGCTGCCAGCTTGAGTCTAGTTTCCATTTCACATATTTTTTTATTTTCTCCACTTAGTTTATGATCTAGATTCTGTAATAGATTTTCTGCAGCATCCCTATCCCACCCCTCGGACGTAAATATTTTTTATAGAAAGCTTCTTGTTCTTCTAGAATAGATTCTATATCATCTTTATACCTCCCATCTGAACCTTTTATTCTAGTCCATAATTTTTCCGCGGCCCTCTTTTTTTCGAGTTTAAAGAATTACCCTGTAGATTTTTCACCTTTCTCGTACCAATTAATCTTAGATCTAATTCTGGCTGCCTCAACTTTAATAATCTTTAATTTTAGCTTTCAAATTATTTAATTCGTTTTCTTTATTAAAAGGATCGGTTCCCGTAATATTATCCAATCTTTTTTCCCACTCCCTTATTTGTTTTTCTGTAACATTTAATTGCTTTGTAACTTCTATTGTAATACTTTTTATTTTTATCTTAGTTTCCTCCAACCATTCAAGATTATTTTCGAATTGATTTTTTTTTAATTTCCAGTTTCCCCAAAAGCTTTCGAACGTATTTCTAAATAATTCCGATTGAATAACTGATAAGTTCATTTTCCACGTTCCGGGACCGCGTTCTGGTTCATTAATTTTTAATTTCATGAACACACCGTCGTGGTCGCTGAACGGAAAAATAAACTATTTTTACTTATAAAAATATAACCAATTTCTGACCTTGAGTTACCCCGACAAAAAGTATATTGTTTGTCTTTAGGGTATCGCTTTCTCCACACGTCTATTAACTCGCTTTGCTCGACAAATGTTTTTAATTCATGTAATTCTATGTCGTTTTGAAAAGGCACCGGTTTTCGATCTAAATTTTGTATAAGAGAACAGTTAAAATCCCCAAGGACGATATTTCTATTGTTGTCATCAATAAGTATATCTTTTTCAAAAAATAATTTTCTGTCACCAGCCAAATTGGGAGCATAAATATTGTAAATATAAATCCCGTTATTACCGGGCGTTTTAATATGTACAGAAATTGTTCTACCATTAGTATCACGTCCGGTTTCAGTGATTTCAAATTTAATTTTTTTCTGAAAAAAGAATAGCCACCCCTTTTGAATTACTTGAACCAAAAACTTTCCCCCTTTCATTCATTTTTCCATTTCGTTTGAACTTTCGACATCGCTGGAGCTATGTGTTTCTTCCAAGCATATTACATCAATGTTTTTCTTTTTAAAGCAATACAAAACGGAATTTCGTTTTTTATTGTCTACCATACCATTGACATTTAAATAGATATTGGCATAATACAAAGTTATGGTTATGGTGAAATAATGCTTTGTTTTGTTCACTCATTATATCAGCTACGAATATCCTTATTTTGAAATAGACAAATGAAGTTTTAAAAAAATAAAAATCGACAAATGTCTTTATAGTAATGATAAAATGTGTCTTTTTTTTAAATTGAAAGCATTAATTTTTCTAGACAGATAGGTCTGTGCTGCATGAATTCATACAGTCATTTTATTCATTATTTCACGATTGAAACTACTAAAACCTGGATTTTATATAGGGGATTTACTGCAAGAGTATGACAAGTCAAAAGTCCAAAAAAGAATAGGTCGAAAAAAAAAGCATGTCACCCAAAAAAATGTAGGATGGAAATCACGAATTCAACCGCATCTAGTTGAAATTTATGTTATTTGTTAAAATCTGAAAATTCCACGTTGTAAATAAATTATTCTAATACAACTGCAAACAAAAACAAAAATGAAATTCTTCAAGATAAAATATCTAGTTAACATATGTTTATCTAGCATTAAACTCAAGGGTGGAGTAAGGTATGAAAATAAGGCAACCCGCCAAAGAGTGGCGTTTGCTTGACTATGCGGGATGTATTTATAAATACGCAAATACTTTTTGTCAAAATGAAGACATTTCATTCAGAACGTACGTACTGTATTTTTATTGTTAACTTGTTCTAGTCCTGAATATGCGGCATGGAATGTTTGCCTCTTGACGTTAGCAAACTTTAAAAAAATCGGTGTTGTTTTTTTTCATTTATAATTGCTGAGAACTTTTCTTGGACGCAGTATTCACTCTTGAATCGTCCCTTCCCAAGCAGCATTGCGCTCCTTAGTCCGCACTAATGTCTTTTCCTCCTTTGCCTCATTAGAAATAAGGGTCACGCTACGCCACTGACAGTTCATTGAAGAGGATGTTAGAAAAAGCTGTGATATAATGAACATTTTCTGCGAGGAAAAACAAGAGACATTTATTTCATTGTCTGTGGAACGGATAACATTTTGAAAAAAAACAGATGAAGATCCTGTAATTCGAATGACCTGGTGTTTAACTGATATCTCGAGGGGCTTTTGCAATATATTGTTTTTTTTTATTGGTGTTGGTATTTTTATATAAGGAAAACGACAAAGGGCAGTAAACTTTTGAAGAAATTATCAAAATTATTGTGTGAACCTGTTATCTGGTCAAATTCCGTAATTCATGTAGTAGTTTTTCACTACGATATTTTCTGCTCGGCACTTGAGAATTTAAAGAAGTGTCATGTGAAAAAGAACATTGGATACGGTTACAATGATCATGAAATACGTTTTGAGATTTGATGCTTTTTAGAATTAACATCTATTTTTTTGAGCTAATTATTTCAATCCGTTCTAATTTTAGGGAATATTTTGAACAGATGCAAAAAGAAAATTTGTATGAGCAGGACTTTATTATTCTAAAGCAATTCCGATAACTGATTTTTTTACTTTGAAGTTTTATTTGGTCTTTTTTGTGGTACTGACAAATGAAATTTTTGATCGGTAAATTGAAATCTTTAACACAAATTAGAATTAAGGATCTTCTGGAATATGAATTACAAGCTGAAATTTTCCATCGGTTTCCTATTTACATCATATTTGCTATTATTTTTTTTGCATTTATATCTTTTATTTTATAAGGTTTTAACCACCAGGCATAAATAGTTTGACTCGTATTTGGTACAACGTTTTGAAATTTTGAGTTTTCAATGCTTTTCAACTTCGCATTTGATTTGTTGGTCTTCCAACTATTTTGATTCAAGCGGCAAAGATGAGTCTTGAGTAGATAAACACGTGTCTGGCATACAAAATTATACGCCTGGTATCTTTGATAAGTTTTAGAACCACTGGGTCGATGCCACTGCGTGTGGACGTTTTGTCCTCATCAGTATCATTAGCCCATTAATCTGCGCTTTATTTAAATGACATGAAATACCTTTGAAAAGCTCATTTTTCTATAAATTTAAATGATGAATAATTCAAAACACTAAGGTTTTCATCTCTCAGGCAAAGATAGCCTTAATCATATTTGACACAACTTTTCAGAAATTTTGGTTGTCAATGCTCTTCAACTTCGTATTTGATTGGCCTTCCAACTATTTTGATTCGAGCTTCACTAATGAGTCTTGTGTACACGAAAAACGCGTCGTCTGGCTTACCAAATTATAAGCCTGATATTTTTTATCAGTATTTATTCATGTTTCTTTTCTGAATAAATGTATTCATTTTTTCATCTTTGTTTTAGTGAAGAAAAAAATATCGGCAATTCGGCCCATAGTAAATATTTGTCGTTGGACCCCGATCTTTACAAAACATGGACCACTTACCCATGCGACGGCGTCTTTTCATAAGGGTTGGCTTATTTATATAAATAAAACATGAAAATAATTATTCTTATTACTGCATTAGTACCTTCAATCGCATTATTGCATTCAATTTTTACATTTTCGCCTTTAAAACAGTTTTCAACGCCCCATTTTGCATGAGTGCAATGTTCAAATTTGTTTTCGTCTCCACAGCAATCCACGTCGTCTAGCCATATCTTTCCTGTTACAGATTCGTTCGTTCTTCCAATGAAGATACCATTGCTACAATAATAAACGATGCATTTATATCGCTATGAAAACACAGAATATCGTTATTTTTGTTTAAATAATTATCAAGCAATGGCAAACACTTTATTGCGTATAATATTAATTTAGACGTCAATGATAAATTGATCACTGATAAATAGTTGCTTAACATCTATAGAATATAAAATTCCTAAGTCTTTTTTTTTAACGCTTATACATTCAATTTTGTCCAATTTATATTGATGATGATGTCCCATCCTCACGCCCAAATTCAAACACAAAGTTTTAGACAAACGAGACGATTTTAATTTTGAAATTATTAATTTTCCCCATCTTAGTAGCAATATACCAACTTCACCTGCACATGGGATATACATTTTCCAACTCATTCGTTATTCAAGAGCTAGCAGCTGCTACTCAGACTCTGTAAAACGTCACCAGTATCTGAGCAAAAAGTTGATGAACCAGGGTTATGTCAAAGAACGTCTCGTCCTTTTTCTAAAAAAGTTCATCGGAAGATACCAAGACCTTGTTGATTAATATTCAGTATCAACTTCACAAATAATACATGATGGTCTTGATGTATAGATTCTAAGTAGTGACGTTGTTTATCACCTTGATTACGTGTTATAGTGTTCTTTTTTTTTTGTCTTTATGAATTATTAACATTTACTGTTTGGTCCATTTTTGGTCATATCCTTTAGACGTGGCTCGGTACTTGTACATCCAGTCATTGTGTTGTTGTGCTGTTGTCGTTTTTTGTATTCTTTTGTTTCAATGTTGCCTATGTGCTTTGTCTATATGCCATTTTGTTTTTCTTTGTTGACATATTTGTTTGTTTTTATAGTGATTAAGATTATAACACAATGTTAACTGCTGTACCCCTATTTTTGACATTTTTACCTATATGGCTGTTTGTTTTGTTCACACATTGTTGACAATATAATGGAATTTTATGCGGCTGTCATACAAGTGAGAGGTTTAGCTAGCTTTAAAACCTGGTTTAATCCACCATTTTCTACATAAAAAAATGCCTGTACCAAGTCAGGAATATGACAGTTGTTTTCCATTCGTTTGATGTGTTTGAGCTTTTGATTTTGCCAATTGTTAAGGGACTTTCCGTTTTGAATTTTCCTTGGAGTTCGGTATTTTAGTTGTTTTACTTTTTACATAAAATTGCTTAACACTGTTTCAATATCTGTTCGATTCAAAACACACACGTGACTTCCAAATAATTGTAAGACTTATTTTCCTTACTCTATGTATGCCCCTTTTAACCTGAAATATAAATAGTTAACATGGTACAAAAATATTGTGGGCCTGTGAAGCAGTAAATTGATGCACTTTTTTTTCGGAGAAAATAATCATAATCATAAAAATAAAGTCAATTCAATTTCCATGTCAAATTTTCAGATCTCTTTACAGTCAAGAAATCTAATTTTTCAAAGATAAATAATCATTAGATTTTTAATAAAAAAATATTCGCAGCTTTGGTTGAAGCCAATTTATGTAGGATCGGAAAATATGATACAAATATGGTGGCCGGTTAAGGCCATTTCGCGTTTTCGCCCTTCATATTCTAAAGAAATATTTATGGAAAGCCCAAAAAAGAAATATATAGTGAAAACCTACCTGAGACCGCTTAAATGAGGGTGAGACCCCCCTGGTCTTTTAATGTCCATAAAATTAAACTTAATCATAGACTCTGTATATGTAAAGATTGTATTTGAAGGATTTCCCAGAATAATGTCATCTTCGATATCTACGGAGGGCTTAGATTGTCACTTTTCAGCTAAAAATTGTCAAAATTTTAGGACAAAGGGCACAGGGCAATTGTGAGAGCCCCTTGATCTCTCAATCTGCCTAATATTATGCAGACATTTAGTTAATAGGTAGATACAAACGTGACTAAAAGGAATTTGGGTACACTTCCTGTCTTCCATGTTTACGGAGCGCCCAAAGTGCCAGTTGGATATTCAAAATATATAGTGAAAACCTACCTGAGACCGCTTAAATGAGGGTGAGACCCCCCTGGTCTTTTAATGTCCATAAAATTCAACTTAATCATAGACTCTGTATATGTAAAGATTGTATTAGAAGGATTTCCCAGAATAATGTCATCTTCAATATCTACGGAGGGCTTAGATTGTCACTTTTCAGCTAAAAATTGTCAAAATTTTAGGACAAAGGGCACAGGGCAATGGTGAGAGCCCCCTGATCTCTCAATCTGCCTAATATTATGCAGACATTTAGTTAATAGGTAGATACAAACGTGACTAAAAGGAATTTGGGTACACTTCCTGTCTTCCATGTTTACGGAGCGCCCAAAGTGCCAGTTGGATATTCAAAATATATAGTGAAAACCTACCTGAGACCGCTTAAATGAGGGTGAGACCCCCCTGGTCTTTTAATGTCCATAAAATTCAACTTAATCATAGACTCTGTATATGTAAAGATTGTATTAGAAGGATTTCCCAGAATAATGTCATCTTCGATATCTACGGAGGGCTTAGATTGTCACTTTTCAGCTAAAAATTGTCAAAATTTTAGGACAAAGGGCACAGGGCAATGGTGAGAGCCCCCTGATCTCTCAATCTGCCTAATATTATGCAGACATTTAGTTAATATGTAGATACAAACGTGACTAAAAGGAATTATGGTACATTCCTGTCTTCCATGTTTACGGAGCGCCCAAAGTGCCAGTTGGATATTCAAAATATATAGTGAAAACCTACCTGAGACCGCTTAAATGAGGGTGAGACCCCCCTGGTCTTTTAATGTCCATAAAATTAAACTTAATCATAGACTCTGTATATGTAAAGATTGTATTTGAAGGATTTCCCAGAATAATGTCATCTTCGATATCTACGGAGGGCTTAGATTGTCACTTTTCAGCTAAAAATTGTCAAAATTTTAGGACAAAGGGCACAGGGCAATTGTGAGAGCCCCTTGATCTCTCAATCTGCCTAATATTATGCAGACATTTAGTTAATAGGTAGATACAAACGTGACTAAAAGGAATTTGGGTACACTTCCTGTCTTCCATGTTTACGGAGCGCCCAAAGTGCCAGTTGGATATTCAAAATATATAGTGAAAACCTACCTGAGACCGCTTAAATGAGGGTGAGACCCCCCTGGTCTTTTAATGTCCATAAAATTCAACTTAATCATAGACTCTGTATATGTAAAGATTGTATTAGAAGGATTTCCCAGAATAATGTCATCTTCAATATCTACGGAGGGCTTAGATTGTCACTTTTCAGCTAAAAATTGTCAAAATTTTAGGACAAAGGGCACAGGGCAATGGTGAGAGCCCCCTGATCTCTCAATCTGCCTAATATTATGCAGACATTTAGTTAATAGGTAGATACAAACGTGACTAAAAGGAATTTGGGTACACTTCCTGTCTTCCATGTTTACGGAGCGCCCAAAGTGCCAGTTGGATATTCAAAATATATAGTGAAAACCTACCTGAGACCGCTTAAATGAGGGTGAGACCCCCCTGGTCTTTTAATGTCCATAAAATTCAACTTAATCATAGACTCTGTATATGTAAAGATTGTATTAGAAGGATTTCCCAGAATAATGTCATCTTCGATATCTACGGAGGGCTTAGATTGTCACTTTTCAGCTAAAAATTGTCAAAATTTTAGGACAAAGGGCACAGGGCAATGGTGAGAGCCCCCTGATCTCTCAATCTGCCTAATATTATGCAGACATTTAGTTAATATGTAGATACAAACGTGACTAAAAGGAATTATGGTACATTCCTGTCTTCCATGTTTAAGGAGCGCCCAAAGTGCCAGTTGGATATTCAAAATATATAGTGAAAACCTACCTGAGACCGCTTAAATGAGGGTGAGACCCCCCTGGTCTTTTAATGTCCATAAAATTCAACTTAATCATAGACTCTGTATATGTAAAGATTGTATTAGAAGGATTGCCCAGAATAATGTCATCTTCGATATCTACGGAGGGCTTAGATTGTCACTTTTCAGCTAAAAATTGTCAAAATTTTAGGACAAAGGGCACAGGGCAATGGTGAGAGCCCCCTGATCTCTCAATCTGCCTAATATTATGCAGACATTTAGTTAATAGGTAGATACAAACGTGACTAAAAGGAATTTGGGTAAACTTCCTGTCTTCCATGTTTACGGAGCGCCCAAAGTGCCAGTTGGATATTCAAAATATATAGTGAAAACCTACCTGAGACCGCTTAAATGAGGGTGAGACCCCCCTGGTCTTTTAATGTCCATAAAATTCAACTTAATCATAGACTCTGTATATGTAAAGATTGTATTAGAAGGATTTCCCAGAATAATGTCATCTTCGATATCTACGGAGGGCTTAGATTGTCACTTTTCAGCTAAAAATTGTCAAAATTTTAGGACAAAGGGCACAGGGCAATGGTGAGAGCCCCCTGATCTCTCAATCTGCCTAATATTATGCAGACATTTAGTTAATAGGTAGATACAAACGTGACTAAAAGGAATTTGGGTACACTTCCTGTCTTCCATGTTTACGGAGCGCCCAAAGTGCCAGTTGGATATTCAAAATATATAGTGAAAACCTACCTGAGACCGCTTAAATGAGGGTGAGACCCCCCTGGTCTTTTAATGTCCATAAAATTCAACTTAATCATAGACTCTGTATATGTAAAGATTGTATTAGAAGGATTTCCCAGAATAATGTCATCTTCGATATCTACGGAGGGCTTAGATTGTCACTTTTCAGCTAAAAATTGTCAAAATTTTAGGACAAAGGGCACAGGGCAATGGTGAGAGCCCCCTGATCTCTCAATCTGCCTAATATTGTGCAGACATTTAGTTAATAGGTAGATACAAACGTGACTAAAAGGAATTTGGGTACACTTCCTGTCTTCCATGTTTACGGAGCGCCCAAAGTGCCAGTTGGATATTCAAAATATATAGTGAAAACCTACCTGAGACCGCTTAAATGAGGGTGAGACCCCCCTGGTCTTTTAATGTCCATAAAATTCAACTTAATCATAGACT